TGAGAATGACTTTAATGACCACTGCAAAATCAACTTGGGGAAACTGCAACATGATTTTAATTTAAAACTAAATGTCAATATTCAACTGATTTCCAAATCAGTTAACCTTCACCAAGGAAAATGGGATGGTGGTAAATTTTATTTTTAAGGGGGGGAGAGGGGAGGGGGGCAGGGCGAAAGGCATAATCTACTCCTTGTACTTATTTTTTCAGCCTCAAGAAGTTTCACAAATCTTAAATTGTTGAAGAAATGACACAATAGATTTTACAGATGGTTGCAATTATACAATAAAGTCTTAGCTAAATTTGTAGTGAAGTGGTTTCCATGTAACAAGACCATCAGATTATTACCTCAAGATCAAGGCCTAATTCTAATGTCTGAGGAACTGGCCACTCTATTTAGCCCCTTCCTCATTGGCACTATTTGTATTTGGCACCTATGTTGAAAGCTGAAGGTGCCTATGGCTGGCAGAATGAGGAAAAGATTCTCTGGACAACACAGAAGCAAGTTTCCCCCCCCCCCATTCCTTCCTCTACCTTGAGTTCTTCTTCTGACATCTCTAATTAAAAGTTTCTTTCCCCATAATTTAGTAACAGGCAACCTAGCCACTGTGAAATGGATGTGCAGAGAAATCCATCAATGAAACCGTATTTCAATTCATTCTCATACCACAGCTTATTGTCAATTCTTACCGTCCCACCAGTGGATTCTGGAAACTGGACATTGTGCAACCCAAGTTTCAGGCCTTATTAACAAGGTCTATGGTGGTAGGAAAAATATAGCTCCAGACAGAATATGATTGCTTAAGACTTCTGTCATTTTACTCACCAGATTTTAAAGACTGGTTCCATTTCTAATATTGAATTTCATGCCTTTACCATTCACTAACCCAAATATATTTACTTATATCTAATCCCAGGGAATTATTTACCCACAAATGCTATTATATCTTGTTGACTTTTTAAAATCAAGCCTCCCCAAATTAATATCTGAGAAGTCTTGTCATAGAGTATGTATGCGGAAGAGAAAAATCACTTTCTTCTACCTTTGAATTTCTTAAAGTGTGTTTTGGCAATGACGAATATGATAATCTCATTGCAATACCTTAAATGGTCTTTCTTTTAAAACCTCAAATCATGAAAAATCATTGTTATATTACTCTTCCACCTGTGATTTTTCTGAGTAGCTGTATCCATCATTTTCAAGCTAACACTCTAAACAGTTTGATTCATTATAGATATTTTCCAGAAAAACACATCCTAGGAATATTTTATTTCAATAATACCAGACATTGAGTTTAAGACAAGAAAGGATGCTCTAATTTAAGGTGATCTTTTGTTAGATGAACTATGATAAGTTAACACTGCTCCAAAGAATGTAGTTAACAAAGGCACTAGGTAGGTTGGCAGTAAGCAGTAAACCAAGAGGGAATTCACACCATGTAGACAGTGGCTAAATAACCTCTAAATACTAACCCTACTGAGTAGTTTCACACTAGAAGGAAGGAAGGAATGAAAATAGGGACAAATTTCCTTTAAAAAAATGAGATGAAAATGTTCATTGTGATTTCTTGATGAGAGATGTGTTCTGGCTGTCATCTCCTTACTATCTAACTGCATTAAATATTTCTTTATCTTAAAATTTGCTTAAGTAGTAGAATATCAACTCCATGAATACAATGTTTATGTACTATTTATTTTCTAAAACTAACTTCCTAATCCCTATTGCTAGTTATGTTAGATTCAAATTTGTGGGTACACAACATTTATCTAATTAATTGACCAAATGAACTATAATGTTTACGATGTTTGTCATAAGTAATGCTTATCAAATAGCTGGTACTATTTGTCTCCTTTGGGGGAAGATATCTGGAAAACAGGTGAACAAATTCTAGTTGTGGTAAAACAAAGTGACAGCTGTTATAAAGTGTCCACTAAAACTATTTGTGAGCATTACTATTTATAACGTAAGCTTCTGCATAGCCACATAAGAAAAAATCCACATTACAAAGAATTCTTTGATCACATTTAGCATCAGAACATGAAATAGGGGATGCTTACAATGTTTCTCTAAAGCCCTTCGCTTTAGTCCCTCTAATGAATCCTGATTGCCCTAAATGTTTTAGAAAAGATAAAGTGGACAAGCATTGTCATTTTCTGCTTAAAATACATTTTCCCAATCATAATGGTAAACTGAACATATACTTTCAAATAGGAATTTTGTAAGGAAAAAGAACACAGTGACTGAGCGCTGAGTGGGAATGGGGAGCATAAGTTCTGGCGGTTGATTTTATAGCACATCTCCCCTAAAGTGGAGGGAGCTGATCCTACCACCTTAATGAAGAGGCTCCTACCATTCTTCCGACCAAAATACACTCACTAATCGCCTCAAGTGTTCAAGAGTGCTGATGTGAGGAAAGCGAGACCCCTTGTTTAGGTACAATCACGTCAAGCAAAAAAATGGATACAATGAAGAAGATAATTTATGGCATCTAATGTAGGCTTCTCCTAACTCTGGGAGCGTTGACTCTGCATGTCATGTAGGTGGTGTTACCGTGTGCTATCGTGCTGCCACAGTGGGTGACCTTTTTTTTTTTTTTTAAATGGTAATATTTTGAGAAAAGAATAGAGGGTGTTTACCAAACAAAACAAAACAAAAACAAAACAAAACAAAACCCATGATTACCTAACAAGTTTTCTCTTATTTCTTTCCCTTTTTTCCTTCCTTTGCGTTTTTGAAAGCAAAGGTAAAAACGGGTATTAGTGTATTCATTCCGGCTGGTTGCAGGTCCCAGAGAGTGAGCTGCATACCCTTGCAGTGGCTGGTTCTTTGGGTGTGTCATGAATGGAATCCCTAATAAATCACTGTAACCAAGAACATTTCTAACAGCAAGTCTCTTTAGGAAATGCCCAAGTTTTGTTTATGTCTGAACACTTCATTTTAAAATCCTGGTTTCTACCCATGTGTTTAGGAAAAAGCTGACAAACTTGGTCTGAAATGTAAAAACTGAAAAAAAAAAAAAAAGTGGGAGGAAGAGAACATGCAAAATAAGTTAATCATTATCATTCTAAGTGCCACCAGTTCTGTTTATATTCATGCACATGTGAATTGTTGAATCTCATTTGATCAACCCAATTAAACATTAAATAATTGCAGCCAATTATGCAAATATCAGCAACAATATTAATTTGTTGATCTTTTTGAGCAGATTAGCCTCACATGTTCCTAATGCTAGACTATCTTACGCCATAAATGATCAATTAGTGTTAGGATAACTAAGTCTTGAAGAATGGATAATTGCCTAGTTATAATGTGTCACTCTTGCTGTATTAATCCACTGCAATTAAACAAATAGTGCACAAGGAAAAAAGATGTGCAGATGTTCCTTTTAAATCTATTTAACAAGTTAGTGTCAAGGTCAATTTTCTGTCTTATTACTTAAAAGAGAATGGCAGATTGTGTTCTCTGTTTTAGGAGACCTCCAGTTTTTTAAAATGTATATCCTTCGTTTTCACTCCATCTGGTAGAAAGGGCTTAAAATGCTCTTAAGGTTTGATGAAAGAAATTATAGACATAATGTCAAGACATATTGTTCTCTAACTTCTACGACGGACATGTGTTGCCATACTAAATTTAGAGATGCAAAGTGTAAAATGTATTTAAGGCAAACAAATGATTTCTGTTTGTCATAGAAATGTGAGTCTAGTTATTAAGTGCTACTTGACAGGTTAGAATTACCTTTAAGTCTTTTCTGGACTACTCAGTTAAAAATGAGGTCACAGGATTTAGCCAAGGCAAGTGCATACCCTTAGAATTTGGTGAATGTGTGTAGAGGACAGTTAAAGTACTTGAGGCCTGAAAAGAACAGACTCTTCCAAGATTTCAGTTCGCCAATTAAAAGCCCCCAAAAGATATTTTTACTATTCCTTTTTATCTTATACTTTCCTAATTTTCATTTTACCATTCCTATCTGAAAGGACCCTATGGCCAAAAGTCTTGGAAAAGAATCAAAGCCCCATTTGCTATGTGCCGCTAAATGCCTTAAGGAAATTTTTCTAACACATCAAACTTTTAGAATGTTTTTTTTTTCCCTTCCTCTGAAAAGAGAATGAAATATGATCAGCAAGATGAAAGTTATTGGAACTGAGGGAAACCAAAATATAATGTCTGAGAGTTGACCTTCCAAGGGTAAATGTTTTCTAGCTAGATCTGACTTTCCCCTAGATAAACCAGGAATCAATTCTAACTCACAACTCCTAAATGAGGAAAATAACATCTAGAATTGCTCTCCCTGCACCCTAATCACGTGATCATCCAATCCCCATTCAACAGAAATGAACACCTAAAAAAGCAAAGTATACCTCTTTGCTTTCTACCGAAAAGCTAGAGATGAGGATTTATTTTGTACTTAACACCTAACAAATGTCATTTCCATTTGGTTGGTATGATAGCAAGACCTCACTGGAGCTGTTATTTCAATTTCAAGACAGTTTTCAAATACGAAATAAGCCCTCCAACAAGCTATGCCTTTGAGTATCTCTAATGACTTAGTAGTCCCTGGAAAATAAAGAAAATATGAGGTACGTGTGCACAATGTCAGAATCAACCATGAATTCTAATAAAGAGGTTTCATAATATAGAAACAAAGGTGGTACACTTCTATAGAAGCTAAATGTTATTCATTATTTAATGAGTATCTATTATGTGCCAGGCAGGGGACCACAAAGATCTCTCAGACACAAGACCCTCCGTCTTGTACTGGAGCCTGACAAACAGCCAATTATAACACACTGCAGAAAGGGCAATAGTGGAAATGTGCACAGGTCTTGCCGCTGCACAAGGAGAACTTGGAGCAGACTGTGACAACATCAGGAAGAAGGGGAGAGATTTACCTTGAGACGGACATGGGGGGGGGGGGGCGCAAAAAAAAATGTGGAGGGCAGAGAACCAGTTTTCCAAAGTCTTAATTATAAAAAACAAAACAAAACACAACCGAACCATTTTCTGAAGATGAAGACACATCATAGGAAATGTTACCCATGAAATTTACTCAGATCAGTTTTCAAACACAAACTCATTTGGTTGAGGAAAATGTAACTTATGCTAAGGAATAAACAAATACCTGTGTATCTGAGTAAAGTATTAAGGGAGGCACTACGATTATTGAGGAAAATTCTATGCTATATGGCTTACATGATCATCTTTCCAAGAGAAGGTAAAGTAAGCTTCTGCTACCAAGTTTACAAAATAGCTCTTGATTGCAATTCGTCTTCTCTAGCATGAGGAAACAATCACCCAGGTAACACCGACAATACAAACTACACTATGCACAACTAAAAACAGGTAACTAAAGAAATCTGTTGTAATTCAGTTGCAACAGTCTGTCTCAACAGCACACAGATGATATCCTGTATTTTCCACTCAGGACACTATGATTGTCCAGTCGCTCTCTTCTTTTCCGTACTATAACAAAAAAGCAAGAAAACATGTTTAAGTGCAAAAGCTAACAGTGCAGAAATCGCTTGTAAACTCATTAATACCACCAACATTGTACAAGAGGTATGCTCCTGTTTTGAACATTAAAAGCATATTCACATTAAAAATAGGATTAGAGAGAAAGCATCAAATATGTGGAAAGAATCACAAATTTTTAAATTATGGTTAAACTCAGAACTTATAGCTGGTATAGGTCTTGAAGTAATGTCTTTTTATTGCCATTCCATATTTAGCTTCTGCTGTCCAAATAAAGTAACTGAGTTAAATTTAATTACTGTCCTCTTTACTCTGAAGAAGTGATGCTCCAAGTGTATCCCCCAGACCAGGAGCATCAGTATCACCAGGAAACTTGTTTCAAATGCAAATTCTCAAACCCAAGCTCAGACTTCACTGACTCAGAGAAGTCTGGGGGTGGGTCCCAGCAACCAGGCTTCAGCCAACACTTCCAGGTGATTCTGACGCTAAAAGCCCCTTTCTCAAGAGTATTTTGTGTTCACGGAGAAAAATATTATTTGGACAAGCCCTGTGGCTCTGAACAGCAGCTCTGTTCTCTAAATTAAAGTTGTTTGTGTTATGTTAGCATCCCAATTTTTCTGATTCCTTCAAAAGTTATGGAACTACATTGCAATCAGAATTTGATTATTTGCATTAGCAAGTGATTTGCTTTCACAAACCTGAATTTTCATATACTTAAAACTTAATTAAAATGAAGATATTCCAGATGTCAGAAGTAGAAAGCTAGTTTTGATTCGTTTGTTCTTTCCTTCATTCATTCATTTCAACATCCCTGCGTGTAAATGAACTCTCACTCTTTGAGCAAGTACTGCCTGGAAAGGCAATGGTGCCAAGAGCTTTATAGACTTAATACTAAATTTATGCTCATGGCAACTGCAGAGAGTAGGTGCCACTATCAATCTCATTTTATGCTTAAGAAAACTGTATTAGGGAGATTAAAAAACCTACTCAGGCAATTAGTAAATGATAGAGCCCGGACTCTAGCCAAAGGTCTCTCTCACACCAAATTACGTGTTCTTGGCTACTCTCTGGAATTCCCGCCACATGTTCACACAGCCACGTGTGTGGAGACGGACTTGGAGCATCTCTCCCCTACCACCCAGAGTAGCATGCCATTATGTCTGCCACCACGTGCTTGCCTAAATCACTCACATGATGTCCTCTTTTCACATGAACTGGCCTTTCAGTCCTAATATAACTTCAGTTGAAATTCATACAAAACATTTGAAGTTCTGAATTGGGAAGAACTTTAATGATCCTCTAAAGTGTAGGGGATTTGGGGCACCTGGCTCAGTCAGGTGATTGACTGTAGAGCATGTGATTCTTGATCTTGGGGTCTTAAGCCTCATGTTGGTTGTAGAGATCACTCAAAAGTGAAACTTTTTAAAAATAAATAAATAAAATACAGGGGATGAGTCAAATAAGCAGGGCTCTGGATTTTTACTTCAGAACAATTCCACTTTGATTGGCTTTGTATATTGGGATTCCAGGAAAGATTTCTTTTGTAGAAAATCCTGCTGCTTAAAAAATCAAGTGTGGGGGTGCTGGGTGGTTCAGTCAGTTAAGGGTCTGACTCTTGATTTCAGCTCAGGTCACAATCTCAGGGTTGTGGGACTGAGCTCTGCGTAGCTCTGTGCTCAGTGCACGAGTCTGCGTGTCCCTCTCCCTCTGCTCGTCCACTCACACTCTCCTCTCTCTCTCCCTCTCTCACAAATAAATAAATAAAAATAAAGTCTAAAAAAATACCAAGTGTGAAGAGCAATGAACTTTTTAAGCCAACGTTCTCGTTTTACATATAAGGACATTAAAATGGCTCTAGAAAACTCTAAATCATAAGCCCAGGGCTCTTGCCTCTGTTTGATGCTATTTCTTCTATGTTACACACTCTATGTGCTATGTTCCTCTTGAAGACCTTTAGAGACCTCAAAGAGCAGAATTTGTCAGTAAAAATCCTGGAAGCCAAGAATGGGTCTACTTACAACCTTCTGGTTTACAGAAAAAGAAGAATGAAGGAAGCCCAATGACTAAGTGACTTGCTGAATCCCTATGAGAAAGAGTTGCTTAAAGAGTGTGGCTTCCCACTATGAACTGCTGATTCATGATGAATGCTGGATAAAACATTCCCAAATTCTGCTTGATTGATAAATGGTGCCAACATGATTTAAGCTAGGATCAAAATATGTTTTATTTCTTGTACTTGGATTCCTATTAATACATTAGACACTTACGCCATTAATAACAATTGTCATCATATTGACACTTTAGCAGATCTATATTACCGTGATTCATGCCCACCATAATTTCATCTTGAATCTCATCAGTTAAAGTAAACTTGCTTCCAATTAGTTGTTTTAGTTTTATAAACAGTCAAAAATCAATTTTGATTACAATGAGTCATAGGTCATATCACTCCAAGAACCTACATAATCATATTAAGATTTACCCCTTGCCTCCTGTAATTTACACTTTTATGTAAAATTACAGCATTCTGAGATGCATCCAAGAGAGGTGATAATACAGGTCATTTGTAATATTTACACCTAGGCAGTTAGCAATCAAACTTTTCATTTGGATGATAAATTATTCAATTTAATTTTTCAAGGCAAAATAAGTCAGAAGCAGAGGAGACAAAATGTTAGTAGAAATAGAAATTATCTTGGGGCGTCTGGGTGGCTCAGTGGGTTAAGCCTCTGCCTTCGGCTCAGGTCATGATCTCAGGGTCCTGGGATCGAGCCCCGCATCGGGCTCTCTGCTTGGTGGGGAGCCTGCTTCCCCCTCTCTCTCTGCCTGCCTCTCTGCCTACTTGTGATCTCTCTCTGTCAAATAAATAAATAAAATCTTAAAAAAAAAAAAAAATAGAAATTATCTTCTTTTCTCAGAAGTAGGTGTCCAGAGCGGGGGAAAGAACACATGCCTGCCTGGGCGAGGCTGTCCTTATTGCATCGTCAGGGTGATTATAAAACCACAGTACAGGCCCATACCTTGAACATTTGGCAGGTCTACTCTAAGTCACACTGACTTGACTTTGTCCACTGGAATCCAAGATGAAGTTAAAGCAACACGGCGAATCAGACTGAGCCTGTGGGGTGACACTCTGAGCCTAACTATGTGATGCGCAGAAATTTCACCTTTTATGAATTCCAGGAAGAACACTACACCAAAACACGACTAACAACATGTTCGTTCCTTCCCATTCAACGTACATATGGCAAATAATTGTACATGGCCTTTGCTAAAAGGCCTTTTACCTTCAACAGAAAGTTCTGAGCAACTTGAAAGGGCGATCTATGTGTCATGCATCTACTCTCTGCGATGCCAATAAAAATATAATGGGGGCTACCCCCCAGGTAGCAATTTGCTATTCTTGTTCTAAATCCTGTTCAGTGGCCTGCAAAGCTCTGTAATCCTGGAACATGGAGAAGTGTGTATTCGGGAACAAGGAGGGGCTGGGAAGCTGGTCAAGGGATGAGTCATCAAGGCAATCTGGCCCTGTTCGCTTAGTCTGCACACAAAGAGGAGGACAACTCAGGACATCAGCAAGGGGAAGTGATGGGGATGGAACTAAAAACTATCACGCTGTTCCACTGAAAACAAGAAAAATGCAAGACCACTACTGGTCACTTATTCCACAAAGCTGTAGCCGCTTGTGGGGAAAACAGATTTTGAAAGAAGTTTCATCTGGTGGCCTCCGATCGATACAGAGCCTGCTCCTATCTCACTGGGCTTTCCTCTTCCTAACCTACTTAGGACTTCACCTCTCAAGTCTTTGCAATCACTATTCCCCACCTCCTAAACCCTCAAGAGCACTGGTAGTTATGCGAACACACCGTCCTGATACCTAAGACCCAGCGTCCCGCTTTTGTCTGATCCTGATAGCAGTCTTGGTATGTGTATTTCACTTAAAAAAAAAAAAATCTAAAATCAGGGCCTCTGAAAGTTCTCTTGAAAAAGTAATTTGACATCAATCAAGACCTTCCTCCCACCTCTCCTCAGAATGTGTTAACATGCAAGAGCAACACATTTCTGTTCTTCAGTATTTGTCTGGTATATCTCTCACTTGTTCATTCCTTTATTCATCGATGCCTGAAGCATCCCTGAGTCCGTACTGTAGCCCAGGCCCTGCACTGAATATCGGGGTTACGAGAAGGAAATAAAACAGTGCTTACATTGAAACAACCTGGAACAAAGACAAGTGTGTGACTAGTTAAATATAATTTAAAGGCCATATGTGATCATTCCAGGTGCTATGGAAGCTGGAGGAAGAAGTAACATTTGAATGGATGAATAGGTGTTTGTACTGGGGCAGAGGGATGTTGTTCAAAAGAGATTTTAAAGGTTCCTCAAGGAGATGTGTCTTGAAGGACAACCAATAACTTCTCAAGTGGGCAGATTGTAGAAGGTAGAGGAAGGCAGGAAGAAGCAGCAGAGAGCAGAGCATATTGAAGAACAGAGAAGACCCCAAATGTCAGGCACATAGGTGAATATGATGGTGAGAAATCAGACTAGCCAAGAGGCATGGGAGAGAAAAGAAATATTAGCAATATGGCTCATGTTCTCCAAGTTTAAGTCTGGTTAAGTACCATGAGACAAACCATGAGAGACTGTGAACACTGAGAAACAAACTGAGGGTTTTGGAGCGGAGAGTTGGGAGGGCCTGATGGTAGGTATTAAGGAGAGAACGTATTGCATGGAGCACTGGGTGTGGTGCATAAACAATGAATCTTGGAACACTGAAAAAAAAAAAATTAAAAAAATATATAGATTTCAACGGGACGCCTGGGTGACTCAGTGGGTTAAGCCTCTGCCTTCGGCTCAGGTCATGATTCCAGGGTCCTGGGATCGAGTCCCACATCAGGCTCCAGAGAGCCTGCTTCCCCTTCTCTCTCTACCTGCCTCTCTGCCTACTTGTGATCTTTCTCTCTGTCAAATAAATAAATAAAATCTTTAAAAAAAATATATATATATATATTTCAAGATTAAAAAAAATAAGTAACACAAAAGTGTTTTTGTTTGTTGCTTAAAAAAAGAAAAAAAGAGACTGTCATTTGAAATGCTCCTCTCACAAGAGGTATTTGTAGGGCAATCTAAAAACCCATGGAATTATATGGAAAATTAGCCAAATGCAATGAATGCTTAACCTCAGAGGTTCTTACTCAGATACAGAAATACACAAGTTAAATGAAAAGCAAATCTGTGGCTAAGAAGAATTTCCCCCCAGGTCACAGTGGCAAGAATCTTGAGGGTTTTTTGGTTGTTGTTTTTCTCCTCTTCAATTTACCAGAGCACTTTGTAGGAAATGGCCACGTTTCCATGTAATGTCAAAGAGATCAAAAGTAAAACATGATGCAATTCTATGCTTTTCTCCTCAATAATCACTTAAGTTATTTTTCTTGGAGAGAAACAGATACCCGTAGCTTCGTTGACAGCACCAATTTGCCATCTTATAAGAGGATACTTTTGAAACTTTAGGTTCCATGCTCACAGGCATAAAATAATTGAAAAAGGATGTGGTCTTAGGTTCTGAATGGATGGTCCTTTGTAGTATACTTAACAATTTGGAGGAGAGTTGGTCCTTCTGGTTTGTGGTTTAATTTAGAATCATTGTATTACTTCGTATTACTTCATGTATCCTGTGACTATCCCTTTCTTTCCTTGTTCCTAAGGAGCTCTGAGTGTATCATTAATTTTCAGTGTTATTACAATTATACTTTACTACCTAGGTAAAAAGAGAAATTATTATTTCTTCTTTAAGATTTTATTTATTTATTCAACAGAGAGAGAGACAGTGAGAGAGGGAACATAAGCCAGGGGAGAGGGAGTGGGAGAGGGAGAGGCAGGCTTCTCGCTGATCTAGGAGCCTGATGCAGGACTCAATCTTAGGACCCTGGGATCATGACCTGAGCTGAAGGCAGACGCTTAATGACTGAGCCACGCAGGTGCCCCTATTAATTTCTTCTTAGCCACAGGTATTATAGAGAATATATACAGGTAAGAGGAAAATGTTGTTTCTTCTCATTCTCTCCTTCATATACTTCATATATATCTTTTATTTTTAAACATATTCATGTGGTTTCCCATTTAAGCTGAATATTTATTTTGTCTTTCTATAGCTTAGACATCTCTAATTTTTTTTTATCCCTTTTATCACTATTACATCACCAGTACCTACAACAGCCTCTTGCATAATGTTTGCTCCACACATATATTTACTGAATGAATTAGAGCATTCATTTCAGTCCTAATCTTACTTTAAAAATCCTCTGAAAGGGGCGCCTGGGTGGCTCAGTGGGTTAAAGCCTCTGCCTTCAGCTCAGATCATGATTCTCAGCAGGGAGCCTGCTTCCTCCTCTCTTTCTCTCTCTCTCTCTCTCTCTCTCTCTCTGCTTCTCTGCCTACTTGTGATCTCTGTCTGTCAAAATAAATAAATAAAATCTTAAAAAAAAAAAAATCCTCTGAGAACTTTTGTAATGGCTTGTCATCTTGCCCCCAAAATATGTCTTTGGGCTTCTCGCTTCCTTATACTTTAGGGGTTGGATGCATATATTTTGTCACGATCTCACTGGGGATGACACACACTTCCACTTTTGCCTGCCTTGGCCAAAGCTTCATGATTACGTCCATCAAACACCTCTACTTAGCTCTTTCTTCCAATTCAAGTTTAATACACCTTGATTTTCCCCTCATCCTAGTCAACTTCTTTTCCTTTTTTTATAATCCTTTAAACCAAATCAAATTAAGTAACTTTTCATATCCCATATCATCTCTAAGAGGTGACTCTGAAATCTCTTGTTTTGTGTAGTAACTTCAGTAGAATGAAACATTCTTATATACAACTTGTTCCAGAAAATTTTCCAAAGTGATCTTTTCTTATCACCATAGCGACACTAACTCCCCTCTTAAAAATCTTTCAACTTCTGTTGTGGATAAATGTTTCCGTAGTCTAGACAATTATAAACTTTATTGTTCTACTTATGTTTTTTATTTGATGAAAACACTAATAGCTTACTACTTTCATCAGATTTACTCAGATAACTGTAAAAAAAAAAGATAGCTAAAACATCCAAGTATTTTTCATTAAATTTGTACTTAATTCCTTCCAAATTATCTCTATATATAAGAGTAAAAAACAACTCAGTAAATTATATGTCTCCTAATATTAAGAAATTCCTTTATTTCATTTATGGAAGATTCCTTTTAATAACCTTCACGGAAGAGGGGAAGAGTGATAGTTCATTAATTCAAAAACCACAATCATTCTTACCTTTTAATATTATTAATTTTGCATAAATGTTGCTGAGTAAGTCTTCCAAAAATACCATTTTTATCACTATCCTAGGACCTCATTCTGGAGGGGTCTGCTACTTTGCCAACCAACTTTTTTGCTGAAGCCCTGGCTCTGTCGACTGTCACCCAAATTATCAAACTTTATTTCACATTTCAGTATAAATCTCAGCTTCCCCTGGCTATGTTCAGTGAGTGGCAGTGATGATATCTGGGCTCAAGAGAAACCTTCAACAACTTGTAAGGTGTTTGCAAATTATAGAAAAGTCTCTTCTATATGACCCAGCATTTACTACCTGGTACTTGATATGCCTGCCTGGAAATAGGCTTAACTATCTAATGAGACACTACTGTAAACTGTTGCTCAGAAAAACATAAACAGAACAAGGTTAACAGTATTAAAAATACACACACACTCTTTGACCCAACAGTTAAAATCTTAAGAACTTATCCTAAGGAAATGATCAAAGACTGCACTGTTCATAACAGTTAAAAACTGTCAACAGCATAAATGTCCAATAATAATACCTCTTTAAAAGTTGTGGTACATCCATATAGTGGAATTCAATTACACTTTATACAAGGAATTGAGAAATTTATTGATATGAAAAAGCAAATGATTTACTAGGTGAAAAAAAAAGAGCAGGTGACAAAATCATGTATGACCCTATTTTGTCAGGAAAATTATCTAAAAGTATATAAACACAAAATACTGAAAGGTGAGACATCGAAAATTAACAATGGTTATATTTCAGCATTGGAAGCACAGGCGATTGTTTTCTTCTGTGCTTTAATTCTACAAACTTAACTTGTTAACCCCAAATGGCAGTGCTTGCTACTCTCTTCTCCCCACTGATACATGATTTGGCTTTAAGCTCTGGTTGAAATACGATGACATTTTAAGAGAAAGCCCTTACCTGAATATCTGTCAATTTGTCCAAGATCCGACTTGCAAGCTTTGGGCCATTCTCCATAGTTGGGATGTGTATGGTCTACGAAAGAAAACCACATGCAGTATAACTTGAGGATATCCATGTAGACGGTGCCAGTAAGTAAGACACTCAGCAATTCTACTGTATCCAACATCCACTGAGATAAGGAATGGCACCATGATAACGTGACTAGCTCCTTATGCCGAAGACTCTTTTTTATTCTGAATTAGAATAAAAACAAACTAGCCAATGACAGGTTGTTTCTTGTGTACCAACGGATTTTAGGGCACAACTGGTTTATATGCCAGTCTTTAGGCTGATGTGAGGAACCAAAGAGAAACTAGGGGAACCGAAAATAGTGGGGAGACATAAAGAATCCTATTCCTTTCAGGATTCTGAGAACCTGTAGGATGAATGATTGGCCTCCTCACCTAACCCTTCTGGCAGGGGATGAGAACTCAAAAATATTTTGCCACAAATTAAAGCAAATCATTGCGGGAACATAAATTGAAGCAAGTCTATGCCTTCACAAAAGACTAAACCTATGTCTGTTCAAGGTCAGACCTCCAAGGGCCACAACCTCCACAATGCTGGACAGCATGGTTACATTGGGTGCTGAGAGATTTCATGCTCCTAATTTATATTTGAGTCATGCCCATTCCTGCCCTTACTGGCTTACAGGCTTTTGATAGTCTGATTTTAACACACAGAGCCCATGCTGTCACTTTTCTTCTCATACTCTTTGGGATAACAGGATAATTAGATGTACCTGTTGGCTATGAATGCCCTTGGACACAAACCTATTAAAAATGCATTGAACTTTATCAACTTCTGATTTCTAGAAGTGAAATAATTGGACTTAAAAAAAAATCTGACTTAATGGCAACTTTAGTTTATTAAAAAAGCAGGCCAATGATGCATGTACCCAGATACTACCATAATAAAATGTGAAACAGTAGCTTTATAATCAGCGTAAGTATTGATACATAATAATTCAATTCTTCTCCATTGAAACGATTAATCTATAGATGGAATCATGTCAAAAGTCATTCCTCACAATCAAGTTTGAAAATTTCAAGCAATGAAGCAGCCACCATTAAAATCAGAAAAGAAAATCACTTTTCTTTTTTAAGGAAAAACAATTATGCTAAATTTAAAAACCAAATTTATTTTTATTTATTAATTTATTTTTAATATGATTAATTTAAGCCAATTCACACTTAAGAATAATACCCATATGCATTTAAGCTATAAGACGATGATGTTAAATATCAGAGCTCAGGGTGTCTGGGTGGCTCAGTTGGTTAAGTGTCTACCTTCAACTCCAGCCATGATCCTGCAGTCCTGGGATTGAGCCCCACATCGGGCTCCATGCAGTAGGTAGTCTACTTCTATCTCTACCCCTCACCCTGCTTGTGTTCTCTCTCTCTCTCAAATAAAATCTTTTAAAAATTTAAAAAAATATCGGAGCTTTGTCATAAAGTGGAAGCAAAAAAACCCAAAACAAAAAAACCTCAAAACCCCAAAACCCACAATCCTCCCCAAGAATGGAAATACCACATACTAAATCAGACTAAATTTATTGGGAAGAGAAAATTTCTTCCAACTAAATGAATGAATTCCTTTTGGAGGATTTTATCATGTGTGCCAACTTTGCCAAATGAAAATTTTTCATAAAATAGTCTGAGTAGGAATGACAACAGCAGCGATGATAATAATAATAAATGTAGGAGTTGATCGTTCAAATGAATTTCCCATAGCTATTTGCCATTACTACTCCAGTAGTTTGGAAGTCCTTTTGGAAGCCAGAAATTGAAACCTAACTACCCGTAGAACTTTTTTAGTGAGCTATTACAAAGAAATAAGAGTGGAAACTTGCTGGCACATCTCCAATCCCTACACTGACATAAGGCAGATGTGATACTTGTCTGAGGACAAAGCTGACTCCCCCCAAGATTGGAGCACACACAAGATCACTGGAAAGATGAGAGTAAGTAATTTGGTAATATAGGTTTCTTGGGACAAACTGCCAAGTCATATTAAAAAAAAAAAAAAAAAATCCTTTGCATCTTGGGTCCAACTACCATTTCATTTACACATTTAAAGGATTAAATTATAAGCAAATGCTTGGAAATGACAGGAGGTGAAGAAATGGTCTTACCTCACCCTTGTACAGTATATCAGAAACTGGGCAAACAACGCAGGCTGTACCAGAGCCAAACATCTCCCTCACCCGGTTCCCCTCCAGGGCTGTTGTCAAGTCATCCATGGTGAGGTACCTCTCTGACACCTTAAATTCACCCTGTTTGGAATATAAAAAATAAAAACATATTTTCAAGGAAAAGGTACGCCAAAAAAAAAAAAAAGAAGAACTCTAGTGGTACTTACCTTCCTACACTATATTCTGACTAAACTCAAATGTGACTTGTCCTGTGAGGGAAAGCTGAGAGGAGCACCACCACCGTGTAAACACACGGAGGTGTTGAGCTACCTACTTGAGGTCACAGCATTTCTAAATGAGATGATCAGAGAGAATAAAATAAGACGATCACTATAAAATACATGGTATATGCTAATACAGGCCAGGTTTCTTAGCCTTTTATTTGTTGTCAAGCCTGAAGTCTCACAAGATAAGGCGCACCCAAAGCTAATTAGGGTGCGCTCTATGTTAAAAGTGTCTTGAACCCTATTTAGCATAAAAGAATGTATCATATAATATTAATAATTACAGCTACCATTTATTGAGCACCCATTTTGTGCCAAATTCTCTCACTTTTGAGGGGGTATTATCATCCCCATTTCATGGATGAGGAAACTTAGGTTCAAGGAGAGGTTAGATGACATCTCTAAATCCACACAGTTACTTAAATGGCAGAAACTGAACTTGAACTCAGGTCCAATCTGACTGGCTCCGAATTTCCTATCTCTACTGGGTCTTTCATGGAGTAAAAACATAGACTGAGTTTCACTATCTGAAATATTTCATTATTTTAAAACATAGAAAGTATATTTGGACTTTGAGAAATTACACTGTATATTTCCTTTCTTCCTAAATTCACTGATTCAGTTGACTTTATAGCAGAAATCCTCTTCCTGTCTTTAGTATCTCCTAAGGTCAGATTTCATCACTGAATTATTGGTATAATCTCATCAGCTTCTGCCAAACCATTTGAACTTTTATTTGCTTGAAGATAGGAAATGAAAAAAACAATCTGATGTTTTTAAGCTATCCGCTTAAACAATCTGTTTAATACTTGTTCTTTAATCTGTTTCATTCTCATTCTTTTATGTTAATGGTTAAAGTTCAAAGCCTGTCTCATCTTATTTAAAAAAAAAAAATTCTCTGTTGCTTTCTTTTTTAATAAGATGAGAGTATTTTTTAAGACTTACAGATCCACGATAAAAATGAAAATCACAGCCCTTGGCAAGATTTAAAACATTAGAAGAAGAAGGTATCATGCTGTAAGTATGATTTGAAAGGGTAGGAAAATATGTCTGCAGCAGAAATATGGCTTTTTGCAAGTTTCAATTTATCTCAGTCTGCAATTGCAATTATGTCGTTCAAAGGTAAATAAATAAATAAATAAATTCCAGAAAATCAGCCAAGTTAACTGAAAACAAGATGAGCTCTGTGTTCTGGAAAAGAAAAAAAATCTCTTGTAAATAAACAGAATTGTTTTTACTCTGCTCACCCTTACTTATCTTTGGACAATTTCCCCTGTCTGGCAAGTAATGGTAACCCCCCACATGCCTCTTGGCATTTATGTCTCACTGTTTTCAAATAGCTTTTAAAATAAATTACAGCTGAGGAGTCAAGGAAAAACTTCCTCCATAATGACCTATTTTTCGAGCTAGCAAATCATTAGTGTGGGAAAGCATTTCCACTTACAGCTTGTCATCAAACCTTCTGTACGTGGTTGATTTTTTTTCTTTAATAAAACAAAAATTACTGAGCTTCGAAAATGCATCTTTCCAACTGCAAACATATTTAGGACAGGGCAAGCTGCTTGAAATTACACCAACAGTTTGCAAATGTCATGCCCAATGTGCCAGCCAGCATGTGGTAGTTGGGTCTTGTCTACTTCAGAGTTTTGTAGAATTATTTATAGCACATTTCCTTTACTTCCAAAGCCTTTTCCAGAGAAACTATGCTAGTCCTCTCCTAGATAATACGTGCGTTTCTAAACATTTGTGCTATTAATACTGTTTGACCACAGTGTGCTCAAAGTCTTTTCATGTCCCTTGGAGACCAGTGCAACACATGGGTCAAAAGTTCCATCCAAGAACCTTTGCCAGATAACCAACTCTTCCAACATTCATCTTGAGTATGTTATAAATGTCATTTCAATACCAAATGGCTTAACGTGCTTGCCTGTGTCACATGGTTGAGAAGCTCTACTGAAAACAACTACATTTGCTTGAGTGTTTTGACTTTAAAATAAGCATGTATGTGAATTGGGGAGGACAGGGGGCAGGAAGGAAGGAGAAAAAGGCAGCCAAACTAATAATGTGATGTTAGTAAACATTTATATGTCAGTAAAATTTTTAATTTCTCTGACTAGCAGGGTTACATTGGAATAAATAGAGGCAGGGGAGAACTAGAAATAACTGCAGACTAGAAACAACACACTCAGATTTGAGAAGTTCAGGACGGGCAAAATGGTAGCACGTGGAGTATAAACCAGGTGAGCTGGGAGGAGACACCTGGCAAAGAGTGTGAGATTAGTACTAGAAGACTTCCTCACTAGGATAACTCGCTAAACTGCTTTCTCTCCACCCTTCCACAAACAATACTTATTTAGCGGTGTTGCCAAGACAGTCCATCTGGAAGAGTTATTTCCGCTCAAGTTCAGATTTAAAGATTAGATAACACTGGATGGAACGACAGAATATTATTTCGACACGAAGCTCGGCTTATTTCGATTGATTTTTGTTTCGTGCTTATAAAGTTGTTCCTGTCAAAGGCACCCACCCACTTGTGTGCCAGGTCCAGAATGCTCTGCCTCGTCACTCCTGGAAGAATGATGCCATCTAGTGGAGGAGTTGCCAGTTCTTCTTCTGTCAATTAGAAATTGGAATATTTTCAAACTTGAACAACATTAGCCATGCCTTATATTAACAGCCACTTAAAAAAAATTGTTTCTCGCAACTTTGCTGATAATAAACATGAAGATGATGTTACTGGTCTGCATTACCTAACTTTCCAAATCAATTCACACTCCAGGTAAATCTTTATTAAAAAAAAAAAAAAAGAGGAGGAGGAAGAAAAAGGAAGTAAAGCCACTCATCAAATCATCTTCAATGTATCCTTGCCTAGTAAAAACTGAGAAGATGTTCCACTACCAAACAGTAAAAGGAACCTTCTGAAGTCAAAATTTACCACCGTGATTAACGCTGGTTAGTGATTAGGATCGTGTAGCTAGATCGGATACAGGAACACTGATCATTACCAAACCATCTGAGACTCCCGTGGAGGACAGGAAGTACGTATGTCTCTTCAGGTTGGTCACAGTTTCTACACTGCCCTTTAGAGATATCCCTATCTATAATGATTTAAAAACCTGGAGGAGTATCCACATCAAAGAGGGAGAGATACTGACTTCACACCTCTATGACTCAACGTTAATACGCTCAGGGTAGGCTCAAGCATGGATGTGGCTAACAAAGAAAAAGAGAGAGGAAAACAAGAAATCCAAAAGATCAAAACATAAGTCCAAGGGTGATTCATGGAGAGCCAAGGCTGAGACACTGTTGTACTGTGAGAAGGATCACATGCATTACTAACCAACACAGGGGCCGGTATGATGATCTGTCTACAAGAATCAGCGGGATCCAACAACCACACAAGCTCTCCTTACAGGAAAGTCTGGTACTCAACTTCCCCTTCTCCTCCCCACATCTGGCACCCAGGAGTCTAATCTAGGGGGGAAATTTAAGCCTTAAATCATCACTCTATAAAGATGTTGAACCTTGTAACAGATGTGCTGCTTATCATTTACTTGCAGAGCAATAAACAGCGTATGCTTGAAAGGATCGCCAGGTAGCAAGAACTGGAGAAATCACAGTGGTATCCGTAAGCTCCCCCAAGCCAGTTTAAGTAGCTAAAAAGGACTTCAGAAATCACCTCTTGCAATCCTTACTTTCCAGAAAAAGACAGAGGCTCTCTAAACATAAATGACTTGCAAGATTGGTGACACCGGGGGTGAGTCAGGATCAGAGCTTACGTGTCCCAACACTGGGGCCACTGTCTTTTCTTTTAGTATCCTGTGGTCGGGGCTCCCCTACTCCCCTGTGGTTCCCCCAGACGTCCCCAACAAACAAGCTGTCTGAAAGACCAAAACCCTACATTCATGCCTGTGTCCCCCGAACTTGGTGCTGTGCCTGGCCCAGTGTGGTACGTAATAAGTGTTTCCGCATTAAAAAATAAATAAATGAATGAATGAATAACCCTTTTTTCCTAGGAGACAGCAGTATGATTTTTTGGAAGTTTGTTTCTAAAAATCATCTGCTGAAAACAACTTTCTGGAAAGGAGAAAATTTGTTCTTGGCAATGGTCTTAGGGCTACTTTTTGTCATGTTTAGAAGTGTTGATCTCAAAATAAACCTGTGTGTTGCGATAGCTAGATAGCTGGACACATAAATGTGGGGATCTGTGTGTGTGTGTGTGTGTGTGTGTGTGTGTGCACACGTGCGCGCAGACCCCACACCGAGAGACAACACACTTCCAGCGCCTCCGAACTGGACCTTTCCTAAAGCTTGCTGAGCTCTAAGACTACATAAAGTTAAATAAAAACAGAGGCCTTGGATGGGCAAGTGCAGTTCTGTGAAATATACTTAACACCCAAAACTGCAACCACTAGCCTAAGGTCAAGGCACAGAACATCTGTTTCTCTGGTTGCCAGACAGAGATGATGACATGACAACATTTGGGTGAGAAATATTCATTTTCCTCTGCAACCACAAACATGCTTACAAGAGCCAGAACTGGCTCCAGATTGCCCAACATGAGGAAAACAGAGCCTACAAATACAACTTGTTTTTGACAAAGAAATAATTGGTAGGAGATGAAGAATTTAGAAGCAGTAACGGCAGATGTCATCTGTGACATCCCAAAGTCAATTTCTAATAAAAAATTCATTATTTTTTAAAATTATAGTTTGTGTAGGGTTTGTAGTGCCCAAACACTGTCAGCACAAGGATTATTTATTCAACAAATAATATATTGAGGGCCTACCCTCTGCAATTGTCTTATCTGTGCACCGTGCGTATAGCCGTGAACAGAACGGATATAATTCCTGTTTACTTTCTAATAGGTAGAGGCAAACAAGTATTATGTTAAATATATATGAGACTATGGAGAAAAAAAAAAAAAAAGAAAAGAGGGAAGGCAAAGGGAAATGCCAGGAGTGACAGGGGAGGGAACCTGCCATTTATTAAGATGCTTGAGGAAAGCCTTACTGAGAAAGGGATATGTGGGCAAAGACTGGAGAGCAGGGAGCAAGCCAGGCACACACCTGAGGGAGGAGGGCTCCACAAACAAAGTCTACAAATGCCTGATGTCTGAGAAGGCTCATGGGGCCCACGCAGACCGAGCAACATCAAACATTCCCTGCCATGATCATTCTCCCAACTAACTCTAAACTCAGCCGCACAACTGGGTCTTATTTTCAGGGTAGCTCCAGAGACCAGGGCAAGGTAAAATGGTTTGTTCCAGCTGTGAATAGTAAGCATGTTTGGTAAATTACTCAGCAACACAGTGAGGCAGAGAATCAGTGCTGTGTGATCTTGCTCGCAGGGTCAATGTTACTAGAATCAAAATCACATGAGTTACAAGCCCAGTACCACGGATAGCTACAGTTCACAACACTGTGCTCTGAGGACAGAGTATTTACTTGGTATACCTTTCTGGGGCATCCGTCTTGTCCAAAAGGGGCAGTGAGTGTGCTCATAGAAAGATGGCAGGTTTTTACTGAAAGGACTCTACTCATACCTCCGAGGGGTAAAGTTTGTGAAAATCAGTATTATTTTGTTGATTTTCAACTCATTATTCTTTGAATTTTCCAAAAGTCGCATGGTATAAATCAAAGGTACTATAGAGTTCCTTTAGTGTCTTCTTTTGTTTTTAGCCCAAAGGTTATTCCTGACATGCTAATGACTTCTCTCATGCTATTGTCCAAACATTTATTGTACTTCTTTTCTCCTTATTTCAAATTTTATTTGCTCTGTTAGGTGAACACCCGCAAGTTGAAAAAGCATTAAAACTAAAACCATCTCAGGCAACCATAACAGTTAACTCCTAAGGTCTGATATATTTTCTAAGAGCCAAAAGGCAAATTCACTCATGTCTATTCTGACCTTTAAAAGTCATAGTGGAAATGGTTCATGATTGTTGTTTGGATAACAGGTAATTTTTCACCAGGACAAGTTTCTGGTGTTTCTGTTTTAAATCGTGTAGTTCTGATTCAGACTGAACTTAAATCCTGACATCTCCCATCCATAAATAATGATGTTACCACTTCTGTATAATTTTTTTTTTTTTTTAGGGTTGTGTGGTTTTTTTGGGGGAAGGGGGTTTGGAGGTAGGAGTGGGCAGGTAGAAAGGAGTTGAATCAATATATTTTCTCCTAAATACAGAGTGTAACACTGGCTGTCATCTTTCAAGCATAGCTTTCGATAAATGTCATTTGCAATGACCCAAATTTAGAAATCACAAATATTCCAGTATAAATTTTGTTTCTAAACAGTGCCAAGTACAAAGAACAGAAATGGAAGAATCAGCATGATCTGCATCTGGCTTTTCAAATGCCAAGGATTACCAACGGCCAACCCAAGGACAAGGTGTACTCACCACACCTGTTTATTCTACAACTGACTGGAATATAAGGCTCATCTTATTAGTCTCTGCAACTAATGCTCAAATTAGTGCATAGCTCTGAAGTCAGCCACATCTGAATCACCATTTTCCTCTATAAGCAGCCAAAACCCAAAAGAGCAATAGAAATTACTGTAGCTACTTTAAAAGAAAAAGTTCACTTAAAATTTTAATTAAAATGAATACTCAGACTTTACAAGTATTTGGAAACTTTTATCTCTAGTCTCTATACTTAATACTGTGAAATGAACAGCCTAAGAACTTAAACAAGCCTAAAAAGATGTTTTTAAACTTTTAAGACTACTAAAATTCTAATGGAAATAAATGCATATATATGTATTGTCCCCCATTATTGGTCATTTCATCCAATACCATAGACATTGTCAACATTTTGCTAAACCCCTATGGTCTCTGCCAACTAACCGAAAAAATAGAAAAGAAAGATACGGAGCATTCAGGATATTTAAGGCAATGAAGAAATACAGATTTTTATAGTAGCACATATTAAGTCTTGAATGAACAAGGATCTAAGTACAATTCCCAAAATGGACCAATATGCCCTTAAAAATAGTGTGTTTTAATCAAATTGAGCTCCAGAGTAAACCTGGAAGATTTCTGATATATTATCAAAATATGCAGAAAGGGCAACAACTGTTACATGACTTTTAGCAAGAAAATACACTAAATGTCCTATCAGTAGAATCAGCAGACTATGCTTATAACTACAGCATTTTCAGCCTATGGCATATGATGAATGGCCACTGAACTGATCTGAGACTGATCTCCAAATGCAAGGGATTTTGGATAGGAAAATGGGTAAGAAGACAGCAGAGGGAATAAGGCAACACATCTTCAAATCACGGAGATTTAAATTCCTTAAGCTGACATCTCCATAATAAGCACATCTAGAACCCAAACCCTAAAAAAAACTTTTCTCAGTTCTGTGAATTTACACTCATTTCTACCTGAACAACAAAAGCACAGTAGTTCTTAGCATTTTGGCTCATGCTACTTATTCCTTATTCTAAGGTCCTCGTTCTTTTTTCTCCAGCCTCATTTAAAATGATTGACAAATTGCAAAGAGCTGAAATCGGAGTGAATTACCTCCATCTTCATTTATCCAGTAAAGAAAAAGATTCATAGTTCCAACTTCAGTTATCTGATTATCTTCTCCATAGAGCCACAGAACCTGCTGACAGCCATGATCCGCGGCTTCACATTGGGCAAAAAGGGATGAGCCGTAATTCCTTTTCAGAAAGAGAAAACATATTGACTGTGAATATACCACCCTTCTTATGCTATCTTCCCTACTAAAATCCTCAGATCTTTAATTTGTATACGGATGTAGTCAGTGCACCATGCCCTTTATATGTGTGTGCATGTATATTCTCTAGTTAACTGCATAACATTAAAGGAAACTCATTAGACAGACTAAATTATGGAGTATATTACAACATGCAGATGAATGTTTTAGATAAAACATAAGAGTCCTCAAATAAATATGATGTTTGCTTGCCTCCCTAAGCCCCTGGTTGTATAATTCACTTTCCTCGGTTTTCACAGGATATTAGCAAACAAGTTTGAGGGCTTAGAAAAGAAACCTAATCCCACCGTTGGATTATGACGCCCACCCCAAGCAAGTGTAAACAAAATACTACAATAACTACTACAAAGCATTAACGTCAGCGTCCACAAAATACCCACCTAGGCCTTTTAAAGTGCCTCTTTTACATTTGGTCGGGATCAAAATGTCTAATTAAAAGTATCAGTTAAGCACTAGAGCCCCATTCACTGTGGCTGTCTGCCATTTTCATCCCACTATATTCTCTTTGGGCCCTCCTTTGGAGCCAAGTCATTCTGCTTGGGTTGATTGGAAGTCATTATACCTTGCCCTACATAACTGAATTAAAGGGTGGGCATGTAGCTGCTCATAGAAGCCCTTCTTTGAGTGATTCACTCATTCATTATAATATAGGTAAACTGAAAGATGTTATTTTACCCTTTGGGGGTAATGGCAGCCTGTTTGTTCTGACATAAGCCTGGCATCTATTGTATTCATGATCATTACCCTTCACAGGAGAAGGCATCTGAAATAGGAGAGCCCGAGGCTAACATACAGGCAGAAGCTACCACAAGAGATGGAGGGAGAGAGAACCAGAAGGGAAGGGCGAGATAGAGAAACAGACTGGGTAGAAGGATAGCGGGTGAGCAGGACATACACAAGGGCAAAAGAGAACTGGCAACAATGATCTGAGCCCCTAGTGGGTCCACCACTGCCATCCTACATACATGAGCCCCTCAATTCATTTCCTGCTTAAGATGGTTTGAGTCTGTTTCTTTAATTTTTAATTTTTAAGTAATCTCTACACCCACCGTGAGGCTTGAACCCACAAGCCCAAGATCAAGAGTCACACGTTTCACTGACTGAGAGAGCCAGGCACCCCCTGAGTTGGTTTTCTGACTTGCAACTCCAAGAATATTGACTAATAACTAAAACATTCTAGAAAAACTATGGGAAATAGGCCTTACATTATATGGCTACATGGGTCATGAATTTATTCACATCAAGGTCAGGTAAGATTCATTAAAAGAGTATCAAAATGGGGCACCTAGTTGGCCCAGTCAGTTGAGCATCTGACTCTTGATTTTGGCACAGGTCGTTATCTCGTAATCTCAGGGTCATGGGATCGAGCCCCACAAGGGGCTCCAAACCCAGTGCAGAGTCTGCTTGGGATTCTCTCCCCCTTCACCTCTCCCACTGTTCGTGCTCACTCTCTGTCTTGCTAAAATAAATAAATCTTTTTTTTTTAATTTTATTTATTTGACAGACAGAGATCACAAGTAGGCAGAGAGGCAGGCAGAGAGAGAGGAGGAAGCAGGCTCCCCGCCGAGCAGAGAGCCCGATGCGGGGCTTGATCCCAGGACCCTGGGATCATGACCCAAGCCAAAGGCAGAGGCTTTAACCCACCGAGGCACCCAGGCGCCCCAAAATAAATAAATCTTTAAAAAAAAAAAAGAGACCTTCAAAATGCAGATAATAAAATGAAAATTATCAGCCAATCTAGAGAGGATACAATTCTTTATATAGGAGGTTTTGTTTGATGACCATAAAAAGCTGGACCACCCAGATTCAGAATTAATGGTAAATAAGCAACAGTGGAGTTAAAATTATGAATACTTTTCAATAATGGAGGATAAATGAGACTTCAGCAGGAGTCCACTAGAAAGAGCATGGGTTTGGGGCCAGTGGACTTCAGTACAGCTCTTGAACTTCTACTGTTTGGCTACATGTGCACTTAAGTGAGTCAGTTCATATTTTTGCCTTAATGGATTCATCTGGCAAATAAGAATACTTTATACACTGCATGGACTATTTGGAAAAAATGAAGCAATAACAATATAAGCTAAGAAACAGCTCATGTGAGCCTCTTACAGCCTAATAAAACCAAGTTTTTCCAAAAAAATAACTCATCTAGGGCACCTGGGTGGCTCAGTTGGTTAAGTGACTGCCTTTGGCTCCCGTCATGATCCTGGAGGCCCAGATCTCAGCAGGGAGTCTGCTTCTCCCTCTTACTGTCTACCTCCTCACCCCACCCCATGTTCTCTTTCTCTCTCTCAAATAAACAAACAAATAAATAAATCTTTAAAAAAAAATAACTCCTCGGGGCACCTGGGTCGCTCAGTGGGTTAAAGCCTCTGCCTTCGGCTCAGGTCATGATCCCAGTGTCCTGGGAACCAGCCCCGCATCAGGCTCCTTGCTCAGTGGGGAGCCTGCTTCCCTCTTTCTCTGCCTGCCTCTCTGCCTAATTGTGATCTCTGTCTGCCAAATAAATAAATAAAATCTTAAAAAAAAACACAAAACACTCCTCTATTTCAATTGACTTTTGCCTAGTTCATAGACACAGTCACTGAGACTTTAATGATTTCTCTCATAAAATGTTCTTCGTTGGGGTGCCTGGGTGGCTCAGTGGTTAAAGCCTCTGCCTTCAGCTCAGGTCATGATCCTGGGGTCCTGGGATCGAGCCCCGCTTCGGACTCTCTGCTCAGCTGGAGGCCTGCTTCCCTTCCTCTCTCTCTGCTTGCCTCTCTGCCTACTTGTGATCTCTGTCAAATAAATAAATAAAATCTTAAAAAAAAAAAATGTTCTTCGTTAAAATGAGAATTTTCATAGCATGAGTAACTAGCCTTTTCAAGAAGTTTCTAAAAAAACACACATGCACACTTTTGAGAATGTTAGCTGAATTAAAACCATGGTTCCTTAGCATCATGAAGCTACTTGGGCAAGAAAGAGAATTAAGGACCTCAACCATTTCTATACACTGAAAGAAAAAGGGTTTTTATTTGTTTGGTGCTTATTTGGTTGATTGATTACTATATTCTATAGATGGTATTTTTCCTTAACCGAATTCTTCCTCAAAATTCTCTCTCAGGTGTAAACTGGATTATTAATATCCACAGGGTCATTAATATTTTGATAATATATTTGGATTCCCTCCCACATGCCACCAATATTCAGAAAAGAACACATGTCCTGGGGCACCTGGGTGGCTCAGTTGGTTAAAGCCTCTGCCTTTGGCTCAGGTCATGATCCCAGGATCCTGGGATCGAGCCTCGCATCGGGCTCTCTGCTCAGTGGGGAGCCTGCTTCCCTTCCTTTCTCTCTGCCTACTTGTGATCTCTGTCAAATAAATAAATAAAATCTTAAAAAAAAAAAGAAAGAAAAAAAGAAACACATGTCCTTGGGAGAAAGAGAAAAATGAAAAATTTGGACAACTGTCTATACAGAAAAATTTTAACTGTACATAATCTATCTTCTCCCAGAATAAAAATCTGGGAGAAGATAAATACATCTGTCCAAAAGAGTAAATTCTATTGTGTGAAATCAAAGAGACTGCTCCTAAGGCAGGGTCTAGGAGATGAAATGAGAAAGCAAGCAAGCCTCATAATAACAACTATTGTCTGCTAAGAGGATACTTAGTACTTGCCAGGCAGGGTACTGAGTACTTAAGTCCATTATTTCAATGAAACATCTTAAAACAACACTAGACTTTATTATACTTTGGAGGACTTATAGGAAGAGGGTACTTAGTAATATAGGATCACACAGATACAAGCGTAGGATTCTCAGATATCTCTGAGTGCCATGCCCTTGCTGTTAACTGCCAGGTTATAGCACCACACTTATTGGCAGCTTTCTACAAGCCAATCACATGGTCCTAGGCACTTCATAGTGCCCTGCTTCAGCCTCACAGGTAAGCTGGGTATTACTGTCCTAACTTTATAAATGAAGAAACAAGGAGGCTGAAACCAGTTAAGTAATAGCTCAAGACTGTAAGGTTTTTAAGCCAGGTCTAACTGACTTCAAAGCTTGTATTCAAGTACAGAATAAGAGTAAAAATTAATTAATTAGCTAATTAATTAATTAAGATAGAGTGGGGGCAGGGCCAATTCTTTCCATATTAACAAGGAAACTAGGAAATCAGGAATAAAGATGTTCCAATGATGAAAGACCTTCTAACTCAGTGTTTCTCAACTTTGTTTTCACATTAAAAAATTCTGATGCTCATAGAACTACCCTATAATCCAGCAATTACACTACTAGGTATTTATCCAAAGAATACAAAAATAGTGATTTGAAGGGGCACATGCACACGAGTGTTTACAGCAGCAATATCCACAATAGCCAAATTATGGAAAGACCCTAGATATCCACTGATTGAGGATAAAGAAGATGTGGTGTGTGTGTGCGCGTGTGCGCACACACACACAGACTCAGACACAGGAATATTACACAGCCATCAAAAAGAACAAAATCTTGCTATTTACAATGACATGGGTAGAACTAGAAGGTATTATGCTAAGTGAAATAAGTCAGTCAGAGAAAGACTAATACCATATGATTTCAGTCTTATGTGGAATTTAAGAAACAAAGCTGATGAACATAGGGGAAGGGAAGGAAAAATAAAACAAGATTTTGGAGAGGAAAACGAACCCTAAGAGAGTCTTAACTATAGAGAACAAACTGAGGGTTGCTGGAGGGGAGGTGTGGGGGGATATGTGGTAATTGGGTGATGGATGTTAAGGAGGGCACTTGACAAAACGAGCACAGGGTGTTATATGCAACTGATGAATCACTGAATTCTACCCCTGAAACCAGTAATACACTATATGTTAACTAACTTGAATTTAAATAAAATTTAAAAAAAAAATCCGATGCTTACTTAGGCTCTAACCATGGAACCCAGAGAGGAGTAGTTGGTAAAGCTGATTTTAATCTGTAACCAAGGTGAGAACCACGGTGCTAGAACTTTCCTTCAGCTGCGTGCCATTGTATTACTTCTCTCATTTATGCATATTTAGATATAAAAGAATAACATTATCTCTGATGGCTTCAAAGAAGTGGAATAATCTTAGAATAAAAGGAAAATCCAGGGCGCCTGGGTCGTTCAATTGTTAAGTGTCTGCCTTTGGCTTGGGTCATGATCCCAGAGTCCTGGGATCGAGTCCCGCCATCGGACTCCCTGCTTGGTTTCTCCCTCTCCTACTCCCCCTGCTTGTGTTCCCTCTCTTACTGTCCCTCTCTCTCTGTCAGATAAATAAAATCTTTAAAAAAATGAAAAATCCTTCTCTTCCTTAGGTTAACTGGGAAGGCAGAAATTTTCTCAAGCTGAGGAAAACCAATAGCTATTTAATAAATGTCAACTAACTACAGAGGTGCTAAAAAACTTGGAAGGTAATTGTTGAATTAATTGGTTTAGAAAAAGAAGCAATAATAAAATCTAAGGGGGCTGCCAAATGTCTTTGCCAACTAAATAGGTTGATACTAAATGAAGAATCCTGTGTTTCCCTTGCAAGTCTTTGGTTAAAAGACCCCCCTTTGGGTTACTGCCTTCTCACTTGTCATTCCTGCTTTATTTATAAGACGCAATATTCTCTTCTCTAAGAGGTTTCATGCCAACTTCCACTGACCATGGCCCACCTGAGCCTAACGAGTCCAAGTATTAATTTTTTTTTATAAGAGACTTTATTTTTTATAGCAGTTCTAGGTTTACAGAGAAAGTGAGCAAAAAGAGTTCCCCCGTGTCTCCTCTCCCACTTCAGTTTCCCCTGTTAACCTCTCACATTCGTACACACTTGTCAGGACTGATGAGCCAATACTGATTCGCTAATATTAACTGAAGCCCATAGTAACAGTAGGGCTCACTCTTTGTGCTGTACAGAGAAGAACCGTTTTTAATTGGCTGCTAGTGATCATGTATTCTGTTCATACTGCATTATATCATCTTTATAAAAAGTTACAAACTGTCCCCAACACTAAAACTAAATTTCCCCGTAATTCTCAACATTCCTATGTTACCTTTATCCTGGGCAGGTAGGGGGAGCTAGAAAGCAAGATTCAAAGAGGAAAAAGGAGCTTATTAGGACCTCTTCGTCAAAGACGGATTTACTATAAGGTGAACTCTAGGGGAGGTTCTCACAAAGTGATACATGTGGTGTCAGGGGTGCCTATGCTGTGTGAAGAAGTCTGAACAGGTGAAAAAGACATCAAGAAAACACCCAAAAGAAGTTGTTTCAACCTGACTAGCATAGCCCACCATCAGGGAGGAGTGCTCCATGCTAAAAGGAAAAGAAAGGGACTTCTTGGTTTAATGGACTTCGTTAGGATTTCTCTAGCTACTGAGAGAATGCAGCTGCTAAAAATGCAGGGAGGACAGGACCCAGAATTTTCTAACCTTTTTTTTTTCCTTTTTGGTAGAAAAGGAAAAAAAAAAAATACAGAGGGACAACAGAGGGTTCAAACCCAGCTGTCAACATCTCTCTCACATCCTAGCCATACATCGCCAGACACTCCCAGGTCTCCCTGAGTCTGCATGTTTTCTCTAAGCCCGGAAGTCACCACAGTGTCACCTCCCAGGCCTACTGCTGCCTCAGTGTACACAAAGGAAGAGCCCCCGGGTGAATCTGGCTATTCAGGCTCACCCAGAGGGGCATTCTCTGCTCACGGCCAAGTCCACCCCTGAAATTGTCTAACACTTTTCAAATGCTCTTTTATTTCCAGCCAGCTACATATGGCCAATGAGACTGGCCTGACAGAGCCAAAGCGGGGTTGTCCCTCAGCCAGCTGGCAGCAGGTACGGCTACAATCTGTGGCAATGAAGACAGCACTTGAGTGAAGCGGGCACCTTCCCCAGACAGGACTCCTTGGAGCCGGTGGAGAGCCTCGGCCCCAGCAGCAGATGCTCTCTCAGGCCACCTGTCTGCCGGCAGCTAGAACACCAGCCTCCAGGGGCAGTGAATTCAAAGCATTTGTGTTATTCCCGATTTACTTATCTTAGTTCTTGCTGCTGTATTAACACTCAGTGGTCCTCCCTTATAAAGGGTCACAGGTTATCCTTTGAATGAGCGCAATTTTTTTTAAAAGATTTTATTTGAGAGAGAGAGAGCACAAGCAGGGGGAGCAGTAGAGGGAGAGGGAGAAGCCGACTTTCCGCTGAGTGGGGAACCAGACATGGGGCTCGATCCCAGGACTCTGAGATCATACCCGAGGCGAAGGCAGATGCTTAACCAACTGAGCCACCCAGGTGTCCCTGAACTAGCACAATTTAACACTGAAGAATAAACACAAAACAGAAAAAGGGCATTTCAATTTGAATATTAACATATATACTTGGACTGATTTGAGATGGTGATAACTGAATGGTTGTGAGGGACTCTTAACTTTTATCAGAAACAGATTCACTTACCCTCCCATCTTGCAGTCCCCAGTCCCACCTTTCCAGGCTCTCACGTACTTCGGATTGGCCCAAAGGGACACCGGCTTAAAGGTTCCACTTGAAAAATAAGGCCCCACTGGGCTCAAGATTACAAAGAGCAGGGCTTTGGTAGGCTTCTTGACTCCAAGAGAAGGCTGTGATGGAGTAAAAGTACACACAACTGTTAATGTAAATGGAGACACCAGTCTTAAAGTCTAGAACAGATCTGTAACTCTCTCCCAGAGGGGCTGTCTAAGCACGGGGGCTGTTACTTCTCAAGCTGAGTTACACAAAACCAGATGGTCCTTTAAGAATAAACACAAAGGCCGGAGTGCTGAGGAAGGATCCATTTTGCTTTGCCTTCTGAGTTACGGTTTTAGGGGAAAAAGAAATTTATCACAACTTTTTGTGAGGAGGGCCTTGAGAGGAGAAATATGTTTTTGACAACCAGCTTTATAACACCTTGCATTGACTGGGAATTGAAAAAAGGAAGAACCCAGACATGATTTTTGTCTCTAGAGAGGAAATGCAATATTTGCTTTTCTAACTTCCCCTTCTGTGTTCACAGATTACTAACAGCTTCAAGACATGCTGGGGTGGGTGGGGGGGACAGGTGGTGGGTATAGGTGAGTATGCCATTACTATACCCCATGGTCACAGACAGGAGACGGCAAGAGTGGAGCTTCACAGCAGGCGAAGATACTAGATGAGATCGAGATTCCCCAGAAAGCCAGAGGATGAAGGACTGAGGAACATGAGTCATGAATGACAAAGATAGAACATGGTCTTTCCCCACAAACACTGGGAAAGCATAAGCCAACCACGCAAAACTATGTTGTCTCCAGCACAAAACAATTATAAGTAATTATTCAGTTGTTTACTAAGGAGGAAAATGGAAAGACTGAAAGCTTTGAGGTTATGTATTATAAAGGCAAAAGAGGCCGCTGCTCTATTCTATGTGATTCAAGACCATTGGGAATAAGAAAACGAGCCCAGGACTATTACATTGACAGTCTCAGGATAAAAAAATGCTATGTCCATTCTTCAGCAGAGTGGTGTCTGCCTAGATGGTGGTTAAGAGTCTGTCATGGTGGGACGCCTGGGTGGCTCAGTTGGGTAAGCGGCTGCCTTCGGCTCAGGTCATGATCCCAGCGTCCTGGGATCGAGTCCCACATCGGGCTCCTTGCTCGGCAGGGAGCCTGCTTCTCCCTCTGCCTCTGTCTGCCTGTGCTCGCTCACTCTCTCTCCCTCTGTCTCTGACAAATAAATAAATAAAATCTTAAAAAAAAAAAAAAAGAAGCTGTCATGGTAAGAATTAAGAAGGGACTCAACTCCAGCTGACAGTGTGACCATTTTGTTTGCTTGATGAACTGACTAAAGTGGGTCTGGAGGTATTTTTTTTTTTTTTTCTGAATTTTATTCTGTCTCCCTCCCAAGGCCCCCACTCACTACTTATGACCAGATCATCAAAACTCGGGTAAGTAAAATATTCATGGGCATAAAAAATGTATTTGTATATGTGCACACTGATATCCTCCGAAAGGCATGTAACCCTCAGAAAGTGGGAAGATGAGGGGCACCTGGGTGGCTCAGTGGGTTAAAGCCTCTGCCTTCGGCTCAGGTCATGATCCCTCGGTCCTGGGATCGAGCCCCGCATCGGGCTCTCTGCTCGGCAGGGAGCCTGCTTCCCTTCCTCTCTCTCTGCCTGCCTCTCTGCCTACTTGTGATCTCTGTCTGTCAAATGGGTGAATGAAATCTTAAAAAAAAAAAAAAAAAAAGTGGGAAGATGATTCCATTTGTATTCCATGTGAACATGACACCGAGAAAGGCTTGGATGGCCAGAGTCAGCAAACAACAATGGGTTTTGGTTTTTCACTTGCTTGGATTTGTTCTTAGTTGGGACTGAACAGGATTCCCCTACCAGTAAAGAGGGAAGAGCCTTATAGCTTCATTTGTCCCCAAAAACTTCAGAATAATAATACATACATGTCTTTCTTCCCAGCTTTGATAAAAACTGACTAACTTATCTCCACACTTTTATGCACCTATCAGTTAAGTAAATACAATGATACATTCATGTCAGAGGAGCTTTGAAGCTTAATACTTAAAAAGAAAAGGTTTTGGGCCCTCCTATTGAGTAATAAAGAGAAACTTCCAACACAACTTGGAAATCCAATCTGTAGCACAAAACCTCAGTAATTTATCTATCCTCTAAGTTTCTGAATAAAATAGCTTATTTGTGGACAAACTGATAAGCATTTTATTAGAAACCACACAAATGTCTGAAATTTTATCACTCTTAACTCATGTATTTTTCACAACCTGCTTTATACTAGAAGCAATACCTCATCATCATGGAAATGTGGGATAAATTTCATCTTATTCATTTTCTTCCTGACTTTAATTGACAGTAAACTTGCATTTCCTCCACTAGGTGGTGGTATAGAGAGCACAGATGGAAAAATGGAATAATCTTAGGCATGAAATCTCTTTCTGGAAAAAAAAAATCAATAAACCTTTAAGTAACACTTTTATTCTTAGCAAGGAGGTAAATTATAGATGAGAAGTTTTCAATGCTGAAAGATAATGTGTTTATGTGTACTAACATTTTATTTTCTGAAATTTAAGCAAAGCCAACTCATGGTTTTTTGTTTTTTTTTTTTACAAGTACTTCAAGTACTAGTGTTGATCACAGCTTGGTCACCTTCATCCTTAAATGATTACTTATATTGATCGTCTTCTCATGAAAAGAACTCTGTGACTTTACAGCAAATGGCCACACTGTTTCAAGACTGAAAATAAATAGGTAACTGCATTAGGAGGGGAGCTTGGGGACTATCTGTTTCTAGCCTCAGGAACCATTATCTGTTTTGTCTTAATTCTCCCTTCTATTCTGGAAAGCAATTTAAATTCTGTGCTACCACTACAATTAACAGCAATTTCTTCTATAATATTCATTAAATGCTAAGAAACATACATCTATAATGACCTGGTCGGGCTTCCGTTTGAATAAAGCAAAAGCCACATAAATAAAGAGAAAAGTATCTGATAAGCTGTGAAATTGTTTCAATAAGTGTCATTTCCTTATGAACATTTTTTGTTCTTTTTTCTAATTTCCAGATTATTTCAATATATAAGGAATTGAGGGCTTAAAAAAAAATAAAAGCCATGGGAAATGAGGAATATAAAATCTCATGGATGCGAAGTATGTCACTTCTCAAGGGACCACATTGACTTAAGTTGAAATTCTGATGTGTATGAAAAAATACTCATCTTTATATTATACCTCACAAACACATATACAAAAGTATTAAGTACATATATATTCTGCACAAAATAACAAGACCCTTGGGTGTGATGGAAAATAAAGTGACCAATTTCAGGGAAAATCACCACTTCTGAGTCAGTCAGAAAATTAGTATATTAAAAGGCAGAATTTCAGAGGTTATGTGAACAATGGCAGAAAGTGTCCCAGGGGCTGAGAAGCACAGCAGCCGTTTGGAGGCTTGAGAATAATTCTGTTTAAGCATTTGTCTGTTTAAGACAAACATAGGACAGAAAAAAATAAGGTAATTGGGAATAACAAGAACATTTTTCAAAAACAGTGGCATGACTTTTTTTTTTTTTAATTCTAAAAAGAGCCTAATTTGTTTTAGAGGGGAAAACAGTGAAGAATATTGGGCTTAGAGGCACTAGAAGAGATATGGAGAGGACTAGGGGTCCAGGCAAGACCTTCAGTGTGTGAGTTACAAAACAGAGGGATAATAAATTCATGTAGTTTTTGTAGGAAAAATTAGTTGGTTTGGTGAATGATTAAAAAATCCTCAATAATTGTATAGCTTTTGGTTTCTAAGACATTTCAGTTATTGCCTCATCTAATCCAATAAGCCAGGAAGTTAAGGGTTTTAATTTCTATTTTTATGTTGAAGAAACTGAGGCTCCAAAACTGAGCCCAAGGTCTCAATTATTAAGCTCTAGATCTTCTACTCTTAATCCAGACCTCTTTTTGTAATGTCAAAGTTTAAAACAAGAAGTACCCAAGATTTCTTACTCTGGAAAGACTTCAAGTCAAGGCATCTCTTGTTTCTATCTCAGCCTTCAGCATGGCCCTCACACTCTACGTACCTCATGCTCAAACCCCCTCACTTTCCTGCCTCTACAATGTCTTCCTGAACTACTCCCCCTGGACCACTCTCCTTCTCCCTGTTATGGACTGCAATGTGTCTACCTCCAATTTTAAGCCCCAACCCCCAATGTGACTACTTTTGGAGCTAAAGCTTTTAAGGAGGTCATTAAAGTCAAACAAAGTCAAAATGGTGAGGTCCTAATTCAACAGGGCTGGTGTCCTTCTAAGAAGTGGAAGAGACATTAGAGCATGAGTTCTCCATTCGATCCCCAACCCACTCCCCCACCAAACACAGAAGGCTCTGTGAGGACATAGTGAGGTAGACCTCGATGGGGAGACCATTACCAGAAACTAACCCTGATGGCAGTTTGATCTTAGCCTTCCAGCCTCCAGAACTGTGAGAAAATAAATTCTAGTGTTTAAGACATTCACTCCATGGTATTCTGTCACGGCAGCCCACTAAGACATCCCCTCTCCTTCCTAAGTAATATAAACCCTCCAATCTCAACTTAAATGTCATTTCAGAAAATGAGCCCTCTTTAAAAAGTCAGGTACTCATGTTACATGCGATCACAGCACCCTGCACTTCTGTGCATTTAGATAAAATGTCCATCACACTTGCTTACAAATGTTTCTGTAATTCTCTACCTCTTGTTAATCTGCACAATCAGTGATGTGCAAGGCCATCTCCGTCCCCTACACAGAATACTGTGCCTTGTTATACCAGGTTTACTACATCATAAGAAGTTGTTTACAGAGGGGAGCTGTGAAAACCTAGATAACTTATTTGCCAGATCTGAATTACTTTGATTAAAAAAAAAAAAAAAGATACTAAACCTCCTATGTTGCATTGATACCACAGAGAAAATGTTCCTTTGTCCCCTGCCTTATTTCCTAAACTAACCGAATTCATATGTGGACATTCAAAGAATACCATGAGGGAGGCTAAAGTCCAGAATATTCTGAGGCTTGCTATAAAAGACAGTATATATTCAACATTGACAAAAAGAAAGGATAGCACGCTTCTGT